TTGGATCTTCTTGACCCCCCATGCGATGTCATCATTGACAGCACTTGCTGGTTTGCCATTGCTTTGGGTTTCACTGAGTGTCATTGTAACTGGCTCGTAAATGGATTTGACTTCCGGCAACGCCGCGAACTTGTAGACGAGGTCGGTGGGGGCGTTGTCGATGTACATGGAACATTGGATCCATGTCGTGGCAACTTCCACAGCCGTCGATTCAATTTGGTTGGCCAGGAGCGACTTGACCGACTCCTGAGACTTGGTGGTGTGCTCCTTCAACGAATCAACCAGCGACTCGATGGTTTCGGTGCGAGACGCGCCGCTATTGAGTCGGCGGCGGTGGGTGGCGAGGGCCTCGTCACAGTGAAATTTCACCACGACATTCGACTGCTTGGCGATTTCCAAGTTGCGATGCACTTGGACCGAGATCTTGTCCGTGGTGGAGGTACGACATACGACCGTCACACACGCCATCCATCCAGCACGGCAATCCACTGAAACATTGATGAGTTGTGGACATTGACAACCAATCATTAAATGACACCATCCAGAAACCTTCCCGTGGAAAGTGTCTGGACGTTTCGGGACCTTGGATTTTGCGTCTAACCCATACGACCGTCACACACGCACATCCATCCAGCACGGCAATCCACTGAAACTTTGACGTCCCATTCAGAACTCCTTCATGAATTGTCCGTGCTGGATGGTGGGGATCATGGAACATGGTGCATGCGGACGAGTTGTGGACATTGACAACCAACCATTAAATGACACCATCCAGGCACCTTCCCGTGGAAAGTGTCTGGACATTGTCGTTTACACATGTGAAGGAAAAGCTTGTGTCAGTGACAGGGATGTCCCGCAAAATATACTACTTCGAAGTAGTTGGAGTGGCATATTATTATTTATTCCGTTTTCAGGATATTTTCGGCCGAATAAGTGTGTATCGCGGAAGTTCGGCAACAAAATGGTATCCGGACACGCCACTTTGAAACAAACGATCTGGATACGAAGTACTAGTATTGTTTATCGAAATACTGAACTGCCACTCCACTATATCAAATGATCTCGATATTATTTATCGAAATATTGAGAAATATCAAGTTGAGCGTGTTTAATGTCAAACTATTATTGTCGGTGAGTTTGTTGATGATGGTAATAACTGGTCTTAAACTACGGCCGTCGTCCCGAGGCTGGGGCTAGTAGCACGCCAGCCTTGGCTCCGTCCACATGCACCTTTCGACCCTGGGTGTCCTTGAGCCGGCACAAGCCACCGTTGAGGGTATACCACACAAACAATTTGCATCGCGGTGTCCTTTTACATTCAGCGCAGCAAGATTCAACAGTCGTCAGATTGAACGAAGCCAAGTCGCCGCCAATATAGTGCGTGTTGTCTTCCAAGGTGCCACACGTGCTTAGGTCATCGCTTAGGTCATCGGTCGGGTTCAGGACTTGAGTGGACTCGGATGGCGGGGGAAGAGTCAGGCCGCTGATGCTAGCAGCCACGGCGTTGAAGATATTCAAGCGGCCGTGACCAAAGAGGTTGTTGGGATACTGCGTGTTGGGAATGCCACCGCAGGTCTTGTTGGGTGGATTTAACGTGTTCGTGTCCGCATTCTCGGTCAGGGCCCTGTACACTTGGTCGTACGAGGCGCCATTTTTGGCAGACAAGTACAAGGCGATGGCTCCAGAAACATGAGGCGCAGCCATGCTTGTGCCACTGCTCCAGATAAAACTATCATCGCTGGAGTGTCCTGGGGTACGGATGTCGAAACCAGGAGCCGAAATGTCGGGTTTGACTACTCCATGGATGGAAGGTCCCAAACTTGAATCGAACGCCAAAGTATCGTAGGCGTCAGTGTTGCCGACAGCAATCACTTGAGGGGAGATGCCAGGATAACCTGAATACGTACATCCTTGAAGGCCGTGGTTGCCGATCGCAAACACGGGAATGATTCCCGCTTCTCTCCACTTTGTAATCATATCTTCCAAATAAAAGTCCTTGGTGATATGTCCAAAGCTGCCATTGATCACATGAGGGGCCTTGCTGGGGTCGCATTTCTTGCCATCGTTGTTGTGGGGACAAAGCAGGAATTGAGCGCATTCCACCAACATAAGTGTACTGCAATCGTACTTGCACGCTTTGCACGCAATCCACTTGGCTTTGGGGGCGACACCAATACCTTTCGTTCCCACCATGATGCCCATGACAGAAGTGCCATGGCCCCACTTGTCGTCGGGCAGCGTGTTCGTCTTGTTGTAAGGGTCGAACCAACCGTATTCTCTTCGCCAGTTCGACTTTAATGACTCGTGGGTATAGCGAACCCCGGAGTCGATGTTGGCCACGACAATACCTTCGCCCTCGATGCCATTGGCCCACAGCGCCGGCGCTTGGATCTTCTTCATCCCCCAATCGATGTCATGATTGACAGCACTTACTGGTTTGTCATCGCTTTGGGTTTCATCGAGTGTCATTGTAACTGGCTCGTAAATGGATTTGACTTCCGGCAACGCCGCGATCTTCTGGATGAGGTTGGTGGAGGCGTTGTTGACGTGCATGGCACAGTCGATCCATGTCGTGGCCACTTCCACAGCCGTCGATTCAACTTGGTTGGCCAGAAGCGACTTGACCGACGCCTGAGATTTTGTGGTGTGCTCCTTCAACGAATCAACCAGCGACTCGATGGTTTCGGTGCGAGACGCGCCGCTCTTGAGTCGGCGGCGGTGGGTGGCGAGGGCCTCGTCACAGTGAAATTTCACCACGACGTTCGACTGCTTGGCGATTTCCAAGTTGCGATAAACTTGGACCGAGATCTTGTCCGTGGCGGCGGTGACGGCAGTGACGGCAGTGGCGGCGAGGGCAATATACTGGTACTGAACCATGATGTTGTTGGGTCAATGGAAATTGCAAAATGAGACCAATGGCTCTCGAGCTGGATGTAGGTAGTACTTGACTTGCCATGCGTAACACGATGGGAAATATGTATCACGTCAGCTGTTGTGTGTACCAGGTCAGCTGTTGTGTGTACTATCTAAGTACAATATGTATGGCACCGGTAGTACAGTATTTGTTTACACGTACACATAGCGCAAACGTCAGGTATGTATACAGTAGTAGAGTACTCCGGAGTACTACTCTGGACCGAAATAGCTGTCACATTACTATGGAGTAATTTTCACGTGGATTTATTTAAGTATAGTTGTGACCGACCAACTATCTTGATTTCAGTATGGCACCCTATTCACAACCAAAATCTTAATCGTATTTTTTTAAATTGTAGCGACTACTAATGTTTGAGAATTCACTAGTGCCTGCATCTGAGCTTCTTCGCCAAGACGAAAAGTCAAATGTGCCAGCGCACTCTTAGCAAGGAGATGAGGGAAATGCTGGATTTACTGTTAACGGGATAATTAGGTCTCGAGTTTACAGTTTGCTGGTCTACCACCAACGACGAAAATGTACGAATGTTACAAACATTGTTCAATCATCACATCATCATCAAGAAGGATACAAAGTACATAAACATATCAACCCAGTAGTCGAAGTCTACACGCCCCAGATTGGTGTCTACATAGGGTACAAAACTTACTGATAATAATGGAGTGATTTTGCACCAAGAATCCACACGAATTTTACAATACAATTTCCCCGAAAATCCTTCGGGGAATATTATGTTGGGAAGGTGCTTTTGCTATAGGAAAAAATCAAATTTAAGCAGAACTGCCGCTGTGTGTGTTGTTGCGGCTCTTCTGGAGCACCTACCGGTAGGGCACGGCTCCCAATCTTTAGGCATAACGTTATCAACAACCCAGTGCATTAGGTGCAATGTGTACAGTTTGTGACCTTGCACCATCCCTATATGCTGTAGTGTGCATCGCGCCGACGTTCAAACATGACCGCTTTGAGGTGGTCGATGAACACTGGGGGATAGGATGTATCTGTTGGCTGGTTTACTTTCGGCACTATACCACTGCTCGCCTACGATATCCTCGCTCATCTACTAGTGCGTCCTACCTATCGCTCATCTACGTTTGGTGCCGACCATGCCATTCATCCATGAAGCGAAATTGGTACTAGTAATGATGTTCAAGTGTTTTGATTGGCTACTGTGTGTGAAAAGGTATTCCCAGTCAGAAATTCTGACAGAATATATTCATCAAGAAATTCCCAACATAATCAGATCAAAAGGCTTCATCATGAAACTTTTCAGGAAATATCACGTAGCAAAATCACTCTATTGTCGAGGGTATACATGCATCTTTATTCAAGCTGTCGCGTGCGAGTCAACCACGAACATGCGCGCGACAGTTACATACCAGTATTATTATTTGTTTAACAATCTTTATCTTAATATTTGTATGCGTATCTTTATTCATCCCCATAATTATTCACGTTTTGCTAAACGATTTATACATCCTGCAGATTGTGCAGGCGTACATGCGGGAAAGGCGGGATGCAGGTCAGCGATTTCTCAATGCATACTGCATAATGGGTCACGAAACTCTCCATTTCTCATAAGTACAATCAATACTATCAACAGCACCTTATTGCATGTCGCCTGGATCAACAACTGTAGAGAAAGACGACTTCGAACTTGCCAAATTCGTTGTATTTCAAGAACAAGAGCGTACATGCGGGTAAGATGCCTGATGCCAGAGGGAGCTGTGTATGCGCAGACCATGCTGCATAGGTTGAGCTAGTAATGGACTATCTTGTAGTACGAGTAGTATTACACAGCCCGAGAAAAGCGTCCACAAAGTTGGTCCACTTTCGATGTATGCGCATGTCCAAATGTCTCACCACAAAAACGTGCACATGCGCAATAAAAATATTGCATCCGCAAATTGTAATGCAGTATCCGGAACAGCTCAGTTTTCAGTACCAAGTTTCTGAATGCAAGCACTACACTTGCAGTGAGCGATAGAAAGCGCCCTCGGTCCACCCTTGACCATAACCAAAACCTGGCCATGGAGAATGGTGATGGGCACTGGAGTTTTGGTATAAAAATGGGAGTAAAATAAACACAAATGTATTTGCTTTATCGTGAGCTATATAAGCGGACATCACACAGCGCCGCAGCCTACAGTCTATCTACGGTCTAGAAACTGCACCAGAGCATCATACAAACACCGGAGTCCATGCGCTAGTCGTCGTAAAGCCACGACTAGCGCCTGGACTCTGTTCGTTGCTGCTTGTGCGCTTCGTGGCTAACGTGCCCAACCTGAACGTCCGACTTGCGCCAGCGACGTCTGCTATCGCGGCAATCCAGACACATCATCCTAGACACGCGTCCAACAATCATTGCAAATAGCAATCAGTTGACATACCGGCCATGCCATCGTTTCCGCTGGGCAGTTCACGTCTGCATGCATCCTTTGTCGACGCAGGGGTCATCGGTCTCAGTGCGGCTTTTGTGGTCCACTGACCACATCAAAGAGTGCACGGCCTATCACCATTTTAGCTTGCGAAAAACAGGGGTTCTCAAAAGTGCCGAAGGACTATTCTAATTGGCTTATTTTTGAGCGCTTCCCATTCTTCATTCTCCATGCTCCATTATTAACTTTGAAATCCCCTAATAATGGGGAGTTTCAAAGTTAAAAATAGAGTAACATTAATACAGTTCGCGCCACTAGGTATCCATTATTTTGGGAATAAGTTTTGAGAAAATACGAAATTGTTGACACAGAAGATACCAAAAGATCGGTCATGACTGGTCGCACATTTTCGTTCTCGACTCAGTGCATAATAGTCAATAGTGATGGAATTATGTCGCGAAAACCAATTTAGAGGTGCGACAACCGTATAAGAACACCGTTTAATTACTTGTTTATAGTTAAACGTGTGGGTTTAGGCCCTGCGAACTGAACCCACCTAACACCATGTGTCACGGGGATTTGCAGGTTTTCGACTCGGATCTTAGGGTAGGTGGGGCTCTGGTGGCTTCAGGGTCCAGCAAGGGCCACAGCAAGCGGCAGGATATCGACAGACACGGATGGAGAGTGACTTGTGGATTACCGGGTAGATTTAGCAGTGAACTACGATCTAAACTAACACACAATCTAAGGATCTGCCTTCTCCTAAGATACTAAAAGATACCAAAAGATATATCCAATGGGAGCACGAAATCACACCGTGACACATGACCGGCGTCGTTCAAACATGCACGATCCTCCAAATATGGCAAAAACAATGTCCAGCCCAAACAGCCTGCCATGTTTGCCAGGTGTGGTGTGGGGCATAGGGGTAGGTAGCTCTTGGGGATGTCACTTGTGTATGGCGGTGCACAGTTACGGGATGTAGAAGGCTTCCACAGCCCACACCCGCCCGCATGCACCGCGAAGGTTCCTTCGTCGTAGGATGGTTGGTTGTCTATGTTCTGCAACTCGTCCACGTGCACCATGTCCCGTGAACCACTTGTGACGGAGCTGGTGCATGGCCATGGGCTACTCTATGACCTCGTGATATTGGTATCACAAAGGTACTACGTAGTATATGGTTGGATGGGTCGATTATCTTTGAATTCGGTCGTCCTTCCCCAGAGGTCTCAATGGTCGCGTGACCTTAGCTGGCTTTTAGATAGATCATCCGATGTTAGACAAAATGTAAAAGTGATATATCTAAAGGCCAGCTAACATTGGAGCTACTCTTTGCTTGCTTTGCCCCTCTTGGTAAAGACGAGAGAATCTGGTCCAGTAGTCCGAACCTCGGGACCTTGGATTTTGCGTCTAACCCATAGGATGATAAATCCGACCTCAAAATTGAATCCGACAATGCTTCCGACATATTTGAAACGTCAACATAATCCGGATGATGACACGACTGACGAATGATTTGATTGGAAGATTATAGCCAATTAGATAGCGAGAACAAATTTTGCACATCAGTGGACAATTTGCGGCCCAGCCGTACAGTTCAGCGGCCTCATGCAGCGGTGTCGTCCAGAGTGCATCTTTCTGCGGGAGACTTGGGCGAGGGGAGGACCCCTGGAAAACCATCACCGGTAGCGTCGCTGGGAACTTGCGTACCTGGCGACCATGTAAACGGGGGTGTGACCAGGCGCTGATGAACCAGACCGAATGTATCAGTTACACGAGTGGAGAGATGCACTCTGCCGACCATCGCAGCACTTCAAGCTGCTTATATACGGAGGTACGTTGATCCGAACATCACTATTAACGCTTTATGGTAGAATGAAGTGACAGACCATGACATTTGCGATATTATCGATAGGAACAGCCGGAAGCCTTACGAGTTTGCGCGGCTTGTTGTGGCTGTGGAATTTGGTCACCCATGGTCACGATGCATGTGATAAACGTTGAATTGCCATCGACAGGTATTCAACAAAATATTTATACTATCATCTAGGCAAATTGATTTTGAGTTTGTATACGACGCCATCGTTAGGGTAGACCGGGGGCCTTGGCTGCTTGTGTAGGGTATTGTGGCCGTGGGGTTTGCTTGCCCATGGCCACAGATGATATATCACAAGACGCACACTTCACAGGTACAATACTGACTTGGACGAGACAATTAAATTATGAATGATGGAGCAAAGTTATGAATCTATTTGGAACTCAGGAGTCATCGTCGATAGGTGTCGGCGTGATACACTGTGTACACATGGTAGAGGTGGGATTTGGTCGCCCACAGCTATCATGAAATCAACATCGGTCGTCGGAGGCCTTGCCTGTTCGCGCGATGTGGCTGTTGGATTGGTTGCCCATTGCCGCGAGGCAAATAGTGGCCGCACAGGTATCAGGTACCAATTATAGCAATGTGATCGTGGAAGAAACCGATGAAGAATTAGGGATTTATGTAGTGTCCCCGATAGGTGTCGGCCGGTGGCGTGTCGGTGTACACGTGGAAGCCGTGGGATTTGATCGCCCACGGTTACCATGAACTTGACATGATGATCGGTTGCAACCAGGATACTACGGTAGCCGTGGGATTTGGTCGCCTACGGCTATCATGAATCAACATCGGCCGTCGGAGGCCTCGCCTGTTCGCGCGGCGTGTGATGGCTGCGGGATTGGTTTCCCAAAGCCACGATGCAATTAGTAGCCGCACAGGCCCACAGCTATCATGAAATCAACATCGGTCGTCGGAGGCCTTGCCTGTTCGCGCGATGTGGCTGTTGGATTTGGTTGCCCATTGCCGCGAGGCAAATAGTAGCCGCACGGGCCTCAGGTACCATTATTTGGCGGTGGAACTATGTGGGATTTAGGCATCATGTTCGATAGGTGTCGGATGGTGGCGTTGTTGGTGTGGACTGGTAGCCGTGGGATTTGATCGCCCACGGTTACCGTGAGCTCGACGTGATGAGCGGTAGCTTCGAGGGTGCTTCGGTAGCCGTGGGATTTGGTCGCCC